CACCCCAAAAAAAGATAAAGGAGCTCCCTGCACTAGTACAGATTTCAGCCATTTTCATAGCACTGTCTTTAACTATGAACAAATACAAACGTCTAAATATTCCTCCCGACATCGAGAAGAATAGAAAAAGTTTGGAAAAGCACCAAAGACGCAGCCGCTACAAGGCATTGTATATGAAGAGAATTGCTCAGCGGTTAGACAATGTTGGGTATGAGGAAAAAGTTATCCAGATCCATGGAGAACAGATATTGGTAATTAGTTGATTCTGGTGTACTACTTTACTTATGCCGAAGTGACCAATTTCTTAGGAAAGTAATAAAATCATTTCTCCTTCACTAAACTACGAAATGCTAGCTTTATTCTCTGAAGAATCATGATCTGTTGTTCTTTTTTGTTTTAAAAAATATTACTATTGTTTCCTTTATTTTCTGCATCTTTTGAAGTTGCATGCTACTTGTTTGATACTCCTAGTATTGCTACTTGCTATTTGTTCATGTATGAAATTTTTCTAGAGTAAGATGTTCAATGTTACTTCTTCTTTTTTTTTTGTTCTTGTAAGAAAGATTTGCATCATTTTACGAGTATATAGAGCTTATACGGGAATCTAACATAGCCCACAAATTTTTGCATTAGTTTTGAATCAATATGACCCGCTGTTTAGTTTCGTGTGAGAGTTAATTATGCATAGAGAAAAAGGTTCTGTAATGATTATTGCCAATCTTCTTATGGAGAAACGACAGTGCCGAGAATGAAGAATATCAACTTGATTCAGAGATGATAGGCTCTCTAAGGCTGAAAACTAAAGAGGGTGAAAAGAAAATAAAGGAAGAAATTATGCGAGTCAAACATTTAAAAAAAACAAATTGTTGCCGTTTCTCCTTACGCTTCTTACTTGTCTTTCTGTTATAATTATCTGATCTCACAAATTTTTCTTCTTTTGACAGTTGCAGCAACTCCCTCAGGTAGAGAGAGATTTTGTTGTTGGCTTTGCTACCGATACATTTCATGGACCTTTTTTGTTATCGTCAGCTGCTTATAGGATCAGACTTTTATTGGTTAGAGGTGATAACTCTTACTGGCTTAGAATATCCATTTATATAGAAGTATGTATCAGAGTCGATGTGACATTTTCAAGGGATTTGGAATATTATGCAGGCTGTAACGACAATCCCCCTATCGATAAACTTATCGATAGTGGGATAGTAGATCATCTTGTTGAATGTTGTCGAAATAGATCCCGACGCGGTCTTCGCGTGAGTAGAATTTCAGATTATTTAATCCATAACAATCATTATTGTTTTTCTGATTTTCCTCTTATTTTCTTAGAGAGAAGCTGCAATGACTTTACATCAATTCATTTTTCATGGAACACAAGCACAACTACAGGAAATGGTTAACCGAGATGTTGTTCCTGTTTTTGTCCAATTGCTTAATGATGAGGAGCATATGGAGTATTTTTCTGAGGACTTATGGGATGATGAATTAATTAATCAGGTCAATCGACAATTAATTTTTCTGAAATTTTGTATATTTGAGCAATAATCTGGACTTTTATGTCTCATATTTTGATTTTCTTTTTAGGTCTTGAAGAGTTTGGCTTTGTTGTCAACTAAATTAGATGTCGGATGTGATCTCGCTACAGCATTTGTTGATCAAGATCTGTGTGGAAGGCTCATGTTGTTTTTCGAGTTAGTTATTCTCCTTTCAATCGAAGTATCATTATGCATACTTGTGGCCTAGTGTTATTCTTCTTTCTCTCTATTTTTATTTTTCCTTTTCTTGAGGTTCTGCATATGTGATCTAATAAAATGATCGAGGTTATGATAGGCATCCTGAAAATCAAATGGTTGATTGTGTGTTGACACTTGTGGACAACTTTCTTATCAGAGGAAGTGAAGATCAAATTCAGGTAGTCCTTACCTATCTCCCATATATCTCAAAGCATTTGTTGTCTTTTTCCATCATTTACTCTTTTACTAAGTAATTCTGTTATAATTGGAGTGCTATGTGGACCTTCCATCACAGTTTACCACTTGTGTATGTAGTCAAGGATTTATCTTGTAACTATCCCTTTACTATTTGTAAATATGGAAAGGGCTGTTGTACAGTTGAACTTATCAAATCATTCTTATTCTACTTGTGAGGTCAAGCTCCACTTTTAATAACACAACTCACTGCTGTCCTAATGACCCATTAGAACTTCTCCTTTGCTTCATGATTAAAATATGAATCAGCTTTTGTCAAACGTTTCATTGTTTTTTAGGTTCAATGCATATTTTCATGAAGAAAATTTTAAAAGTAACTAGTGAGATCGTGCTAATAAGTTTCTTAATCATAGCACTTGAAATATTTGGTATTCTTAAGTTAAGTTTTGGTTGCTCAAAAGCTTTATTCACTATGACAATTCTTGATATGTCATGTTTCTGATTCCTTCTTTTTAAGGCAATGAAATTATGTCCTTTTATGTGTTCTAGGATCTCCATGAGAACCAAGTTTTGCATCATCTGATGCGTGTCCTCGCCAATCCTGAATGGAACAATCGCGCCATCCTGAGTACACGATATAGGGCAGCAGAGACTTTAAGTAATTTTGCTCGTCGTTCAACAAGGTGGAGGGACCTTGTTATTGACACTTGTGCTCTCAACCCATTGTTTCAACTTCTAGCTTCACTATCACGTGAGGCCAGAGCTAATAACGCGTCACCTGCTATTAGAGCAACCAGGATATTGGAAAACTTATGTTTTGGAAATACACCACCATCATTTGATAAGGTGGAGTATAGGAGATAGTTTGCCTTCTGTTTATTGAGATCCATCAAAGCTCCCCCCACAGATTTCTTTAATGCTCATACACGATACACTGTTATTGTTTCAGTTGAGGCCATCATTGCGAGTCCTCAGGTTTCTCGTTAATATTGAGCTTGTGCATGGAAAGTGGCATTCCCTGTTGCTAAGCGTGCTTGCTTAATTATTGCGTGTCTAGTACGCGGTGGATTTGATCCTATAAATGCGCTGATTGAGGAAAATATGTGCCCAGGGCTGATGATGCTTTTGGCGTAAGTTGTTCTCATTAAGACTATAATTTTTTGTGTTATTACTTTTGAAATGTTCAGCTAGGATAATAGAGAATCTAATAAGCTGAGGTTATGCCAGACATATGAATAGTGAGGTAGTTGCAAGTGTGGTGAAGTTTGTGGAGAACTTCTTTAGGAGCGGAACTGATAATCAAATTCAGGTAATTTCCCTGTACCATGAACCTGCTTTTTGTCTTCTTCCCCAATCTTTTGTAGTTTACTAACTAATACCTTAGGCTCTAGTGTTTGGGTCATAATCTGAAGACATGTTTGTAAGATCCTTCTTTTTGTTTTATTTAGAATTGATATGGTTGTTGTTCCTGAAATTGTTGCCATCGTGTTTGTACGAGAGCAAACCATTTAAGCCCTCAGTGTGAAGATTTCTGTCACAAATAAAAGCTTGTTTGTAACATCTGTAACACGACATTTTGCACTCCTTTTATGGTTTGCTATGTTTTGCTGGTTGATTCTGAAGAAAATACAAACACAAGAGCTAAATGAATCTCTGCCTAATTATTTATTTAGCCCGACGTTTCTAGGAATGCACGTATTCTAATTTTGAAATCATCTTATTGGATATGTGTTGTTCTCTGTTTATTTTAATTAAATAGAGAATATAGTTCTGGCAAAATTTATTTTTATAGAAAGTCGGATGAGAAAATTAGCATATGAGGTCTGTTATTTTTTGAATGAAAAGTTTGTTTAATAAAAGTTAACCCTTTTATGTTTTCTAGGTTCTACATGGCAACCAAGTTCTTCAACGCCTTTTAAATATCCTGAACAATCATGACAACCGACCTTTACTTTTGAGGAGTGTTTGTCGTGCCATCGCAAACATAGTGAGCTACCGGAGCAGTCAAATACAGGTTCAGTTGTGAACTTCCTAATCTTGATTCTTTTTGCTGCAATCCGTGAAAGGGTCTGTTCAGTCAAACTAACTTGAGGCTGAGCTTTCTGTAAAACTCTACTTGTTGTAGAATATTCTTTGAGACATTGTGTTTGAATATTATTAACTAAAAACTTATGAGCCTTATTCTATGAAACAGAGGATGGTAGATGCAGCTATCTTCCCTCCTATTATTCAAATTGCGATTAACCAAGAGGTTGATGATATCAAATATGAGGCTATATATGCTATCTCAAGTGCTGCCAGGAGAGGATCTCAAGACCAGATTAGGCACAATCTTCTCATTAAAATACTTTCTGTTGCTTGATAAGTGTGCTGTAGTTGCCTTTTATGTCTATGTATGTCTAATGTACGTGCTTTTGTGTATATATACTTATTTGAATATTTGTGTACTGTGTGTGTGTTGTATCGTTGTGAAGCTGCATTAGTGTGCATGTTATTTGGGCCATTTACGTATATGCATACCATACTTGGCTTGCTGGTATATCCGAGTGATTGAATGTATTCCTATGCTGGAACATTAAGCTGCTCCGCTTCAATATGCCTCATTAAAATAACCTTAAGTTGCAAAACTAGGAAACCCCCATTTTTGTTCTGCTAGTGGTGCTGACATGGGCTAAGATTCAACATAATTGGACCCTATTGTGAACGTGGATAGAAATTCTTATTTTCTGTTAGTACTAAATAATACTAGTACTAATTTTCTAGGGTCATCTTCTTTCTGTCTGAACTTTAATTTCATCAAAAAGAAATCTTGTGCATCCATTGATATATCAGCCATAGTATGCACTGTGGCTACTCAAATGAACAGAATGTTGTTAACACAATTTTGTGTATATAGATATGATTTCAACTGGAAGGTTTAAAATATGTTTATCTGGTATCGATCAGGTACTTAGTCGGTCAAGGTTCCATTGAAGCACTTTCTTTGGGTCTTTTATGTGAAGGATACACAAGAAGAACTTCTTGTTTCCAGGGGCTCCTAAATATTCTGAGGGTGGGAGAGGTTGACAAAGTTGATGGTGTCAATCCTTACACAGAGATGGTCACTAACAGTGGTGGACTTGCTAGGATCAAGAGCCAAATGGATGATCCCGACGTTGGAGAAATCGCAAGAAAGATGCTGAGGTTGTGCTGGCCTGGGGAGCTCTGATTGCTGGTTTTGAAAAAAATCTGGTAATGCCATTCTCTACTTCCTTACTCTCTCTCAAACACCCACACATTCTCTCTTTTTGTGCTTCTCTGAATTATCTCTTCTTTTGTTCTAAACTCAACCTCTTCTCTTATCTCATCTTCTTCCTCATTCATATTCTCTAATTTCAGGATAATGAGTAAAATGGTGGATGGTAGCCGATTGGATCATGAGGGTGTCCTGCTTCTCTTATTTCTCCGAGTTCTAATTGTAGTTGCATTTCATTGTTATTTTCCATTGTAAATAGTGACTGAATTCTCTGTTAGTTGCTATATGTGGAAGTTATCAGTTTCGTTGTTTCAATTGGACGGTCATTTCTGATCCAATTCAGTTGATAATCCAAATATACTTTCCAATTTGGGTTATTTGAACTGCTGAGTTCATTATAGGAGTAAAATGTATTGGTATTTGATAATTTTTGTCAGTCTGGTTTAAACATTCATGTACCAAACTTTCATATATACCAACTTCAGATACCCAATGTATTTACTAGACTACTAACTACTACATCCATGTTTGGCCATTGCAATGGCGATTTATGTTCCATAAAAACAGTAGTAGGTTCACAAAGTAGATAACCCAAGTCCGACAATAGCTTCCTAAGGCAAATGTCATGTTAGTAATAGAATATATTCAGCTTCAGCTAAAGATTGGGACATGACCTCCTGCTTCCTTGAGTTACAAGAAAACACCACACTCAAATGTAAAATAATAGCCAGAGGTTGTTTTGATCAATATTTCCTAGTACTATACACAGAATTCAACAGATGTCAGATGTATCTCAAAATTAAACTCTCTTTGCTGCTCCTAGATGAACTTGACTAGGAGAGTATTTGACAACAGACTTTTCTTGAGAAATGAAAATCGCAGCATCACACTGGTCTATTTCCCACTCCCAGTAAATATTTCTTTTCTTTTCCGGAATCTAACAATTCAAACTCTTTTTTCCATATCAAGTCTGAATTGATGCAGAAATTCTGGTTTAAAAAGTAGTTAGGGGTAGTTAAAAGGAGAATTAATAAAACGGCAGCCTAATTTGGTGTATCCCCTAGAAAAAAATCTCCAAATTAAAGCAAAAAAAGAATAGAAAGAAAGTGCAGATGAAATGACACGAAGTATCTCCAAGCATTTCGAATCTTGGCACCATTTCAATGAATACAAGATTTACATGGCCTTTCTCTTGAACATGAATATTTCTGATGTTCAACATAACAGCGTAAATGTGAAAAAAGAATATTTACAATGAAGCTTCTATATAGTATAAGTAGAGCCAGAAATTCAAGCTAGTATCCCTCTCATAATACGATAAGAGCTTGTCGCGTAATATTTCAAGTTTAACTGGTAAATTTAATTTTTTTGCACCTGTTCAATACAAAAAATCGAAACAAAATAAGAATAAGATCAGCATAGTTTGCATATTACAAATAACAAAGAGGATTTTCCTCTTTCCTCAACCGTAGTGATCATGATCTAAGGAAAAAGTATATAGCGCATGCAGCAAAACCACCACCCAAATGAAAAAGAGAAAATTTTAAAATTTTCACAAAATGCCATATTTTGATAAATCTTTATCTATATATATATATATATATATATATATATATATATTGAGGGAACAGAAAAGGTGATGTGGCACCTCTCAATAACTAGGAATTGTAATTATCTTTTTTTTCTCCTTTTTTGGAGTTTTCTCCTATTTTAATATTTTAACTCCTTAATTAACTAACAAATGCCAAACGTTTTCATTGAGAACCGAAGAGGCACCACCCGGCTTATTGATGAAGCCTTAACGTTTCTTATTGCATTTGGATAATGCAGATTGCATTCTTTCCAATTTAGAGTATAATTCATCATTATGTTTTATGAATGATTTACCCGTTACTACTTCACTCTTTCCATTTTATAGAAGCATTTAATACATTGTTATGAATCATGAATGTGACTACCCATTATATATTATTTGAGTATTTTGTGTTAGTTCCATGGCCTACTCGTGGAAATTTACTTAGCAGCAACTCTAGAATTATATTTGCATCATGAAAATGTACGTTGAAGAAAAGGTTAGAATTCTTCGGAACCCATCCAAATTGGTCAATATAGTTAATTTCCTTCCATTTCCTTCAACTGGTTTTGACTCTGATCTCGTTGTACTAAAGTTGTAGCATCTGTTTTTTTCATTTTTATTTATATTTAATTTCAAGATGGTTGAAAATGTTATTATAATTAATAGTATCGCCATAGAGAAAAAAAGTACAGAAGGGCGTGAGTAATTGGGAGGAGGGCTTTCTTCTTTCATCGTCTTCTTCCTTTTTTTCCCTTAAAACGAAAAATTGGAATGTGCATGTGGTGATCTTCAATTTATAAATTACCTTATCTACAGTTTTAGTTGAGTCAAGCATATGAACTTTTTTTGGATAATATATGGTAGTCATATTTGAACTCAGAATTTTCCCACCTACAAGTTTGAAAATATCAGACATAAACACACTTGCTCAGTAATGTTAGGTTTGCTACACTGCACCACTGGTTGAACACAAACTCCATACGGTTGGTAATTCCTCTTTGTTCTTACTTCTTTTTATCTTGATTTATTTTTTGTCTGCATCAAACACAGAGATTATGTTAGGATATAAGCAAGGCTGCAGGCGCATTCGCTAATATCTTGGACTCGAACTACATACATAAATACATGCAGATAGAAATTTTAAAAAAAATAATTAAAAAAATTGTACTCGTAGCAAGGTATTTTACATCCTGGTTATGGTAAATATTCACAATAATACATGCAGACTTTT